AGTGGACAGACAGACAGACTGCAGCCCCTGCACTGACAGCGGGGTGAGCAGACACAGGGACGGACAGACTGCAGGCCCTGCACTGACAGTGGGTGAGTGGACAGATGGACAGACTGCAGTCCCTGCACTGACAGTGGGTGAGTGGACAGACAGACAGACTGCAGGCCCTGCACTGACAGTGGGGTGAGTGGACAGACAGACAGACTGCGGTCCCTGCACTGACAGTGGGGTGAACAGACAGACAGAGAGACTGCAGCCCCTGCACTGACAGTGGGGTGAGTGGACAGACGGACAGACTGCAGCCCCTGCACTGACAGCGGGGTGAGTGGACAGACAGAGAGACTGCCTGCAGCTCATGTCCTGACAGTGGGCAAGGAGGCAGACAGACAGACAGACAGACTGACTACAGTCCCCCTCCCCAACAGCAGGTGAGCAGACAGACAGACAGACTGACAGAGGGCACCCCTCTGCCCTAAGCGGACAGACGCTGATGGACCCCTGCCCCAGCAGCAGGGCAAGAGGACAGACAGACGGAGTGCAGCCCCCTCTCTAAACAGACAAATGGACAGACAGAGTGCAGCCCCCCCCCTGAGCAGACAGACGGACAGAGCAGAGCCCTCTCCCTGAGCAGACAGACGGACAGAGCAGAGCCCTCTCCCTGAGCGGACAGACGGACAGAGCGGAGCCCCCTCCCCGAGCGGACAAACAGACAGAGCAGAGCCCCCTCGCTGAGCGGACAGACGGAGGGACGGACGGGTGCTCGTAGAAAAAGGAACGTCACTACAGTTTATTGTGGCGGCGGGCGGGCCCGGCCGGGGTTACATTCAGCTCTACTGCTCTCCGGTTAGCGGGGTGCGTGAACATGCGGCAGCAGGGCGGGGGGGGTCCCGCTGCCCGCCGGGGCCGCCGGCGGGGCGGGGGCGCGGCCGCTCGGGACCCCCGCCCGTGGCGGCCCCACCGGGGCGGGGGGCGGCCGAAGCCGGGGCCCCCCGCGCGCACACCGAAGGCAGAGGGGTGAGGGTTAGCACCAGAAACGGGACTCGGCGCCCGGCCAGGGGGGACCGAGCCCGGCCACCTCCCGCCGGGGGCGTGGGCAGCGGGGCGGGGGACCCCCGTCAGCAACGCCAAATGCCGGGGGGACACCGCGGCCACTCCGGGGATGCCCGGCTGGACCCACAGCCCCGGGCACCCGGTGGAGCCGTGGGGAAGGGGGTCGGTGCCCGGGGGGCTCGGTGGGTGTCGGGGGGGGTGGGGGTACTTGCATATCCGCCGGGGCCGGTCCCGGCGGGCTCGGTGACGGACAGACAGCTCAGCCCCGCTCGGGGAGCCGCCGCAGCGCCGGGCCGGAGCCCCGCGGGGCGCCGCGGCCGCGGCTTCGCCGTCCTCCAGCCTCGGGGAGAGGGGTCCTGAGTGGGGCCGGCCGAGGGTGCTGGCGCAGGGCGGGCGCGGGGTGGGGTGTCAGCGGCAGGGGCTGCAGCGCTCCGGGGGGGACCCTTCGGGCGGCTCTGCGAGGGCGCGGAGGGGCTGGAGCGGGGGGTTCTCCGAGGGCCGGCGGAGAGCCCCGCTGCCCTGCCCCGCTGCCCTGCCCCGCACCGCACACCCGCTCCGGCCCCCTGTGCCCCACAAACCCCTGCCCCGCACCGCACACTCGCTCCGGCTCCCTTGTGCCCCCCAAACCCCTGCCCCGCACCGCACACCCGCTCCGGCTCCCCTGTGCCCCCCAAACCCCTGCCCCACACCGCACACCCGCTCCCGCTCCCCCGTGCCCCCCAAACTCCTGCTCCCTGTGAGGGCACAGCGCTCACCTGGCAGTGCCACGGCCAGGCTCTCCTCGGCCGCGCCGAACTGCAGCTCGGCTCCGTCGGGCAGCCCCGAGCCGCGGGAGCGCGGACACCGATCCCCGGAGCGCGTCCTCCGCAGCACCGACTGGGGACGGAGAGGGTCAGCGCCCGGGGCGGGGGGACTAGGTGGGGGGGGGAAACTTCTGGAGGGGTTCGCAGCCCTCACCTTCCTGGCCAGGGGGCTGCTGGGCGCCGAGGCGCTGCTGTAGAGGCTGAGGCTGGAGTTGGAGCGGCTCGGGGACAGCACTTTGGAGGAGGCGGCCGACTGGTTGCCCGCGCACCTGGCGGCGGTCCCGAAGGCGTCCGGGGACAGGTACTTCTCGTTGATCTTCAGGTTGGTCCTTCCCTTCACTGGGGACGACGGAGGCGGTGAGGGGGGCCGGCAATGGGGTCCCGGCGGTGCTGCGCCCCACATGGCCCCCACTGACCCGCTTGGCCCCACAGGCACAGGGAACAGGGACTTCACCGCACCAGTGCCCGGCGTGGGACCCCCCACACCCACCTCTGCAGGGGTCGTTCTTCACCAGGAACTCGTCCAGGGCGATCCAGCCCCCGCCCACCCGCACCATGAGGGTGCTGCGCAGGATCCGCACCATCCGCAGCTGCTGGGACTCCCCGAACTGCGGGGAGAGGGCAAAGGTGGGGCCTGGGGGCTTCGGGGCAGGGCTGGGATTCGGGGAGGGGGTGCCAGGGCAGTGCCAGCACCCAGACCTGCCCATCCTGCCCGTCCCTGCCAGCACCACCCTCCTCCCACGGGGCCGGGGCTCCAGGATGTGTCCCCTCCTTGCCCCGGGACACGGGTGCTGTGGGACCACAGGGGTGGGACCAAGCCCTGACCCCACAGGTCGGCACTTACCCGGTACCTGTTGGCGCTGATCTGCTCCACCTGGAAGCGCTTGGCACAGTTGCACTGGGCCACTTGCCTGTTCACCTGCGGGGACCACGCTCAGCTCAGCCCCGGGCGGGTCCCCCCACCCTTCCACAGCCCCCCCCGGCCCTCCATCCCCCCCCCCACACCTCATCCTGGATCTGGTCGGCGTCGGCGGAGCGGCGCAGGGGGTCCCGGTTGGGGTGCAGAGCGCTGACGAACTCGTAGTAGTCGATGAAGCCGTCGCCGTTCATGTCGAAGATGGTGGCCACGGCGTTCATCTCCAGGACGTTGGTGGGGAACTCTGAGCGGGGGGACAGGGACCCTCAGCCCCCGACAGCAGCCCCCTCATCGCCCTCCGGCCTCCCCCCCGGCACCCACTGGAGGCGAGGACGCCCTCGATGAACTCCCGCTGGCTGATGCGCCCGTCCTGGTCCCTGTCGATGCCGCGGAAAACGTCCAGGACGCGGGACTTCATCTGGCTGATCCACTGCATGTAGCGCTTCCTCCACACCCCGAAGTCGAAGTGAGCGAACTCCTCCAGCTTGGGGGGGGGGGCACAGGCGGGGATCAACACCCCGGCGGGACCCCCCCAAGCCCCTCTGTGTCAGCCAAGGTGACCACTGTGTGCCCCACGATCAGCCCAGAGGCACACCCTGCTCCTGCCAAGGCTGCGAGGGGGTCTCTGCCCAGGGCCCCCAGCTCTGGGGTACACGGGGGGTACCCCCGGGCTCCAGCAGCCCCTCTGCAGCGTCAGGGTGCACCCACCGCGGGCACGGGGACCCCCAGCTGCAGGGGTGGGCTCTGGGACCCACCAACCCCACCCACATCCCACCTGGGGCCGGGAGGTCCCACGGGCAGAAAGGGAGAGGAGCTGCCTGTACCCTCCAGGGCAGTGGGACCCCTGGGTGCCCTCACCTGCCTCTACCTCCTGGGGCAGCAGGACCCCCAGGGCACCCCAACCTCTTGGGGGGAGAAGCTGCC